CAGCCATGAACATCGTGGTTCCTGGTATCGTGTAGTCGACAAAATCCTTCCTTACTACCTCTCTGGTGTTGAAACCAGACAGGTCGACGTTCACCTCGATTCCTTCATCTTGAGTGATTTGTACCCATGCCTTGGCAATATGTTCAGCATAGAATAGCTCCATCATCTTACCTTTGGCATGTGCTACTCGTGCAGCTATGTTGCTCACTCTGAGGGCTCTCAACGACGAAATGAGCTCGGTATCCACCTTCTGCACCTCATTCTTCTTCTTCCTGAGGGGACGGTTGTTTAGCTCGTTACCAGGATCGCAGGTGAACGTGGTCACATTCGCCTGGTCATCGAATCTGACTTTAAAGCGAAGCGCCAGCTTACCTTGTTGTACGTTGGGAAGTGCGGGTTGTACGTCCTCGTCATCACTCTCGATGTCTCCGCAAAGCATGAAGGCTGGCGCAGCCGGTTTGGGCTTGGCTTTGCCTCTAGCCTCTTGTTTTGTAGCAGGAGCAGCGTGATGCTGACGTCGACATTTGTCCCCGAACTTACACGATCCTTTCTGCCAATTCCAACAGACCTGATCCTTCATTGGCTTAGGGCTACTGCTCCTGCCACCGGGACTCTTTGATCTGTCACCCTTGAGGTTTTCTGGTTTCTTAGCAGAACTCTTGTGCTTCTCCTGGTGACTAAACTTGCATTTGTCTCCCCTAGAACATCCGTTTTTCCCATGGAAGTGGAAAGCGCATCCTATCTTGGACGTATCTGCTGGAGTCGCTGACCTGCCACTATCCCCTTTTGGGCTCTTCGTGGCTGATCTTCCACGATCCTGCTTCTTGTCCTTCTTGTTGTGGTCCTTCGGATTAGCCTGAGGAAGTACTGGAGCGGCGTCATGTTTCGGTGGATCGGTCTTGGTATTCTTGGGTTTCGCTTTAGGGTCCTTCTTCTCCGCCGCTGGTGTGGCTTTCACGATGTTCCCAAAAGCTTTTTCCCTTTCTTTCTTGTTTGTGGTCTCAATTGATTTCCGTATCCACTTCGTCATGATCTCTCGTAACTTCTGGTAGGTCTTATCCGGATCCTTATCCAACATGTTGTCGTACACAGACAAGTCTAACGCCATAACTTTGGAATCCTTAATCTTATCCCAAAGCAGGTTGCGAAGTGCTTTGTCAGGAAGCATGTCATCCGCATCCATACCTGATATGATCTCATCCCACTGTCCAAGGAATCTGGATAGTTGATTATCCCCAGAGAACTTTAGATCGAATAAGTGCTTGGATGCATACATCACATCAACGTTGTCGGCACTCCGGAAACTATCGACGATCAACGCTAACATTTCTCGTCCCTTGACCATTCCAGGAGTTGTGCCTCTCGCACGTCTCTGCATCATCTGCCTCACCTTCAGTTGTACGTCATGAGATCTCTCACCTGCTGCGTGAATGATCGTATGTAGGGTGATACCTAGCTTAGCGTCTATGCTAGCGAATCTTGCTTCGCCTGATGTCTCGAGTAGAAATGGGTCATATGGTGACCTGAAGGCATCCGAGAGCCATTGGATCCAGTCTTCTTGTCTCTCGTCGCCCGATGCCGTCACGACTGCCGCTACAACCTGGGATTTCCAAACCTCCAGGTCGTGTATCTTGGGCCATGCAGGGATGTTGATCTTCTCGTGTTCCTTCCGAGATATCTTGGAGCCGCCTGAGTTAGAGGATGAAGCGGCACCATGTTCGGTTGCGGCTGCATTCTCTGCACTTGTGCGCTCCTCTTCGTACCTCTTCCGGTACTTATTCCTCTCATCTCTGAGCCGTGATGCATGCGCTTCGAATTCCATCATGCCCTGTTGGTTCTGCATCATACCTTCATAGTACTCAATTGCCTCTTTCTCCTCGGACCTTAATAACTTTTCGGTACGTTCAAGTTCCGTTCTAAGCTTGGTCATCATCTCTTTCTCCACACTGGGTTCTGATCCCATGTCTGGTGGTTTCAACTTCAGTGCGACCTTCAATTGTGCTTCACTTGCGCTTGATTCGATCAATTCTTCCTGAAGACGTTTCAGCATCCTCTCTTTACGTAGAATGTCCTCTTCCAACATGTTCACCTTGGCTTCGGCCTTCTTGAGTTCGGCGCTAGATGGTTGAAACGATCGATCGGATCCTTGAATCCTCGTCTGAGTCAACTCCTCGTTCGCCTTCCTCAATTGCTCTCTGATGCTCAAGATGAACTTGTCCTGATTATTAGATCGGTTGTTGAGCTCCTCATTCTCTTCTGATAACCATTTGATCTTGTTTGCATACATTGCTTCCCTCATCTTCATCTCTTCAGCATATTCGTGTTTGTTTCTGGCACTCTGCCTTTGTAGTCCAACTAATTCCTGTCTACACAGATCCTTGACGTTCTCAGCATCTGCGATTGTAGTCATGATCTCGGTTACGGCTCGATCTCTTTCCGCCGATATAGCCTGGATCTCTTCCGTGCCGATGTTCACAACTTGGCTAACCATCTCTGCGCTGTTGCGATCAGCGTACTCCCCTAACTGGGTGAGACGATCCCGCATTGCCACACGATCAGTGTCCATCTGGTATTGCAGGTCGTGTGCTGCTGAGAGCAAACAGTCTCTGGATTCTGTAAGTTGGGAGATTCTTCGTTGATTTCCATATCCTTCGACATAACATTCTTCGAGGTGTGCCATCACTACTTCGTGGACTTCGGTCTCGTGTTGTATAATCTGGTTCTGTCTCTGCTCACATTCGACCATCCATGCGTTTTGGTGGTTCAACATATGCACTTCGGCAAGTAGTTGCGCACACTTCGCATTCAGGTCTCCATCGGCCCGTGCTAGTTGTAGGTTGTCAGTGCTTGCCCTTGCTCGATCTCCAGCTTCGCTGTCCGACGGCACTGGTACAGCTGACCCATCCTGCAATGCTAACACTCTCACAGCTCCGGTGTCAGTCCTCCTCCTTGTCTCCCTAGGGCTACGGCCTGATCTCGGTGTCCCCCACGGTGGTGTCGAGTGCGCTGACGGGGAACGACTTCGTGCTCTACCTGTCGCATCTTCTCTCACCGCTGTCAGGGTCTCCACTTCGATCGTACCTGGACTAGAGTTGTGGGATGCACTCATCCGATCTGCGGCCGCAGCAGCTGCTCCGAAAGATGCAGTGCTGGCGTCGGATTGGTCCATCTTCAGTGACTGAGGGTAACTGATCTATCCGATGCGTGTGTGCTTAGATGGTGTTGTGTAAGGCCGCAGCTCGTACCCAGCTCAAAGGAGTCTGGATACGGCTGATAACCTGCGAACGGATGGAAAGGTGTGCCCTGGCCCCGTTCTAGCTCTAAGGTCAACATGAAGCTCGCGCGCTAAAGCTCCTTTTTACCTGGTTGGGCACTTGAGCCAAAAGTATATGGCATGTACCTGTATAGCGACTATACTGGGACCCCATCCCTATTGACAAAAAGTGTTACTATTTCTAATATCTTATGTTGCGGTGTGACATCCCGTATAGCTGGTGACAGACATAAGAAAACAGCTACTGAAACAAGGTCGCAGCGGGTGCAGAGTCATGTCGACCACGTATATTGCGTCACAACTGATGGAGGGTCCAATGAAATTGCGTGTCGCAAAATGGCAGCAATGCTATTCTCTGATCTGGAAAACGCGTGGTACCTGGAGGCAACATGTTTTGAACACAGTCACCATCTCGTGACTATGGGGAGCTTGCAACTGGTGGACAAGCTTTTGAAACAGCATGGTCACAGAAACTGGCGATACTACTCTTCTGTTGCAATTTTTACGAATGTGGTCAGAACTCAGGCAAAACAGTTGTACCACTGGTGGACTGAGACATGGGGCGCTGCCTCAGCGCAACAAACTGTCAAGAAAATGTTTCCAAGGTGCTGTTCAACACGTTGGGGCTCAGTCCATACATCAGAGGAACGCATCATTCAGGCTGGTTGTGAACGTCTCTACTGTGCTCTCAGCCATCTGTTTGGCAAAATAGCTGATCCGGTGAAGGAACTTCCTAATGATCTCAACCCAGATGCTTTGGCAGTTGAAGCTATACGTGAGTTCCAAATCAAGATGAGCAAGTGGCGAAAACACACCATCACAGTACTTGGAGATCCGCTGTTTGCATCCTGTGTGAAGCTTATGAACAAGGCACGTGAACCTGTAATGCACCTCTCCTTCTTTTTGAAGAAACGGCTCACAGAGAAAGAGGTCGACACTCACGGTGGTCATTTGGCAATGCTGGTTAACTACAAGGCCGTTGAGATCTTCGAGGGATTCAATGAGGCGATGCGTCCTCCAACTGAAATATGAGTTTGTCTTTAGTTGATCTGAAAAGTAGCATACCCATTATCAGTATCAGGCTCAGGGTCCCTTGTCGGTAATGGCGACCAACTGACAAACAATATTTATGCATGTCACATTCACATGTGCAGTCTATACATAAGGCTTCTGTCAAGATCTAAAGCATTCGTGCAGGGCGATGGATTAGGCCACACAATTAATAGTATACACACCTCTTTCAGACACCAGCGAAATCATGAAACTATATGATACTTGGCCCGCGATTCTGGCAGAGCAGTCTTAGTTGGATATTTCAAAGCTTATCTGGGACTTAGCGCCCCACCCCAACCACCAGCCACCAGCCCACCACCAGCCAATTCTTGTGCTCTAACACTACTTTAAGACTGACCACAAGTATTATGCACCAGGAGCTATACGCAGGACTGTGTATTGAGGCCATCACTGAGTACATACACATTAGTAGTATATATAATACACCACTTGCCTGGCTTGGACAAACATCGGGGAAGCTGAAGAAGACCTCACTCTCAACTTATGATCTCACCGATTTACAAGTTTATAAGGTCCAAGATCAAGTGTCAATGGAAGTCAAGGGACTTTCCCTTCACTGACTGGTCAATCCTCTTCATTCCAACCATGATTTACCATGCTGCTTATATACTGCAGTACTGCCCAACAACAGCTGCCCTGAAGCCAAGGAGATATGTTCTGGGCGCAACTTGCAGAAGACTTGAGGGCTCACCGGAATCCAGATCATGAAGACACGAGGGCTCAGGATGCACAATTCCTTCTGTCATTGGCTGCAAAAATCTTGGTAATGCATGCATCGTCATTCCATCGCCGGATTGTTTTGCCAACTGAAACTTACCCTTTGTCTTTGCTACGCTTGTCAAGCTGTAACCAACCAACAGTACAACGTCTTGCAAGCGATTTGCTGAAAGCTGATGTGGGCAGCTTGGAGCACAATGCTGCGAAACTTCGAGCGCGTTTTGGCGAAGAACTCCGAGCCGCATCACTGTCGGGCCAGCTACTCCCCCGTCTCCGACTTTTCAGTGATGAGTTGAAGCGGATCTGGAGAGCAGACGTTCGCGACAGTGAACGGACCAACAAAACAATCAGCTTGCTTGCGGAGAGGTCACCAAACATAGGTGACGATCTTCTTAGTAGCCGTGTCGGTTTGAAGCACTATCTTGGAGAGACTTCAGCTGGGGCAGGGTTGCAAGGAAAGAGCCTGGGCTGATTGATCGATTGATTAAGAACTAAGAACTTAACCTTTCAATCCTTCTGCAAGGTTCCCGGTTCCCTTTTGTTTTCACTGATTTGTTCAAGACTTGAAGAATTCTATGAAACTAGTCATGTGACGGTGGTGCCGCTTTACCACAAGGCAACTAAATAACTTACCCAACTAACGACGCTGCGCCTGAGGAAATGGAGTCTGTTTCGGCCAGTAGCCGAGTCTCTCAAGAATGTTTGCATGGCTGGCTGGGAGGTGAAGGAGGAAGTGATGTCAGATCCACAGCGCTTTGTTCCTCCATCTGCTGATCCGAACACTCCGACTTTGGCCCAAGCGAAGAAGAAGTATCAAGAACTGATTGGCAAAAAGAACATGACTGCTACTGAAAAGTGGGCAGTTTGTGTGAATATGGCAATGAAGAGTCATTTGGATGGATCCACGGCAAGTGATTGCATAGCTGTCATCGTTTGCTTTGGGCAAAGGCAACGTGCTGCTGCTACACAATTTACACCCTACTTGGTGGCTGAACAAGTCAGAACATCTTTGCGGTTGCTGCGATGCGAGCTTGACATTGGAAACAACACCAGAAATGTGTTCATCAAATTGCCCTTGCAGTTTTCCACCTCACATGACGTTATTGCTGGCCTCTATGATTCAGTTCGAACTGGTGCTTCGGTGGAAGTCTTTGCTTTGGGTGTGCAGCATTTTGGTGAACATGGAAATATTTGTCAGGCATGTGTTGGGGCTTTGGAGAAGCTGATGACCATAACAAAACCTGGACAGGCGTTCCTTCGAAGGACATCGAAAACCAACAGCAACACCGACACCAACAAGAGACATGAACAACCCGACCAGCCTGCCAAAGCAGCGTCAGGGCAGTCTGAGCAGCAGAATGAAACAGGTGTCAAACATGGAGATGCGGGTGAGGCTGGTGAGGCTGATGAGGCTGATATGGCTGAAGAAGGATTGGAGTTATTACTTGAAGAGGCTGAGAAGGCCGCAAGCGAAGAAGTTCCTCTTTCTGCTGAGCATCGTCACGGAGCTCATGAGGCTCATGCCAAGTCTGCTGAGGCTGAGGCTGATATTGCTGATGACGAGTTTGAGTTGGCTGATTCCTTTTGTCGGGCCGAGTTGGGTCTGGGCTTTGGCATTGATATTGAGGTGAGTCAGGATTCACAATTTGCTGCTGAAATGATGTACGAGACAGATGAGCATTTGGCGGAGAAGTTGGAAAAGAAAATTGTTGAAGACGTCAAGAAAAAGATCAAGTCATCAACAAAGAAAGAGCTTTTTGTACGATCCGAAGACGTAGATGCTGCGTTAGCTGATGATGGCTCCCTCACCATTGAGCAGGCTATGCATGAAGCGATGCTGAATGACTCAGTTGTGTGTGGCAACACTCCTGGTGTCCTCACAATACCCACTGCCACAGACTCCACGGATGCTCCAGGCCAAGGGTGCAAGGGCCAAGGGCTGGGTACAGTACTGTCTGTAAGTCCGTAGGTCTATAAGTCTGTAAACCTATACCACCACCACTAACCAACCAGACCATCCAGTGTTAAAAGTTAAAAGCTAAAGAATTCGCTTTGGAATCCAAATGCCACACGCCACACGCCCTGGAATGTCAAGACTCAATGACTCAATGAATGTTTACAATACATTCCATTCATGTTACATGTTCATACTTTCAATTACAGACCACATGGGCTATTGGGGCCCTGCAGATTGTACATTTACTGTTTGACCAACCTGTTCACAGTTCATTGTTCACTTTGCACCACAGGATCAAAAGCAAGACTGATATGATATGACTTCATCAAAATTTCCTCAAAAGCAGAAGCCAGTTGTCTCTTGCACCTGCCACCGTGCCACCGCTCCACCACCAGGGTCAGTTGAAGAACGTCAAGGCGGCCAAAGCGATTTCTCTGAAGCCAGTATTGCAGATTGGATTCAGGAGGTTCGAAAGTCTGTTGAGGCACTTCGATTGTTTCTGAATAGTCAAGACGGTCAAGACGCTTCTACAGATGGTTCCCTGGCACTAGCTGTTGTTGCTGGCAAAAACGGTGGCCCAGAGAATGCAAGAGTTGCATTTGTCCAATGGGTTTTGCCACTGAGGACATGCAGGGTTGCTGATTTAGACGAGTTGAACCGGGTCAAAATGATAGTCCCTGTGGGACCAAAGCAACATCCGATTGATGTTGTTGAAACTATCTTGCCTAGAACGGGCATTTTTCTGTCCAAGGTCAAAAGAAGGGAGCGTCCAACCATGCCAGATATTCAGATCAAGCTGGCTAGAATCTATGAAGCGTTCCAGATGCCCAAAAACACAGATCATGTTGAGCAGGAATATCAGCTGCCTTGTACTTTCTGCAAGCTGAAGGAGCTTGAAGAAGACAACACAGTTGTTGTGACTCACCAGTGCAGTGTGTGTCTTTGCACTGCACATGATGCATGCACAAGAAAAACCATGTCCTCACCAGCTTTTCAATTGGCAGTCCAGTCGGGTATTTTTGACTTCGCTGTCGCCTTGCCATCATCTTCTTCGGCGTCAACTGCTTCTGGGGCGGGGCCGTCCGCTCAACAAGTTCTTCAAAGAAGATTCTTGGACATGCAGAGGCACAGGGCGCCGGGTGCAGGGATTTGGCAAGAGCAGATTCGGAGTCTGAGCTTGCGATTGACAGGAACATGTCCAACAAAACTAGCAGTCACTAGCTGCTCACACAGCTTACACTTCACTACAACTTGACTTTACACATATGTTTACCGTCTGTCAGTCTTCTTAGTATTCTTCCTTCTTCTTCTTCTTCTTTTGGACTTCATTTCATGTCTGTTGTCTGTTAACTTGTTAAACGGATTTAACACACATGGCATACCCCAGGGTCCCACAGTTGGTACGATACGATACAGTTCCCAGCATCTGAGCATTAAGATATGTTCTTGTGTTTAATTCACACTCCCACCAAAAAAAAATGCAGGTTCAAAGCTCAACTCAACGGGCCAGGTCATGGTCCGCTGTCTTATGTTGGACCATTGGACCATTGGATAAATCGTGTGTCCTGTTTACTTGTTTACTCTGTTGACCTATTGACGGCCATGCATACACTACATATACACTATACACACTGCCTGCCTGTACTTCTGTACCACTGAATACCAGCCATACTGGGGCCGGGCCATACCGGGACTTGTATCCGCTGTTAACTGTGAACTGTTGACTCAGCGTCAGTCAAGTCGAGTCAAGCACTGGGAGTAGCAGTAGCAAACTGAGGAAAATTCAATCAAAGACATGTGTTGAACATTGAAAGTTGAAGGTCACAAGGTCTAGCGCCTAGCGCGGAAAGGAACAGTAAGGTCCATGGATCGTGGACTCGTGGACCAAACGGCTTTGTCTGCCTATGCATGCCAAGACATGGCGGACAGGTTGTGCACCGCCTGTCATTGGATCCTGTCAAGAACTTCATCATTCAGGCACTGGCATAGCCGATCATCGAGCCATCGAATCGTTGCACTGTGTGAGGTATCAATTGTGTGGCTGTTCCAATGTTTCAGTAGTGTTTGCAGACAGAGTTATCAGTCAGTACGTTTGCAAAGGGGCAGTTGTCAGTTGTCTAGCCTAATGACTAATGAGCATCAGAGTTGTTTCTATTACTCTCCACCACTTCTCAGTTTTTCATCAGTCCACACAAGTTCACAAGCTCTTCAGCTTTCTGGCTTTGTGGCTAGGCTTGTGAGTCTGACAGCCAAACTTCAGCATGATTCAACATGCAATCTTGTATAAATAATGTAAGTGTATCTGTTTTGGTTTCGTTGAGTAGCATTCAGAATTCAATTCAATCATTGCTGCAGGTCGACTACATCCTGAACATCAACATCAACATCTTGCTGCGTTCAACATCCGGGAAGAGGAGCAGAGCAAACGGTGTGAAAGGAAGAAACCCTGGCGGAGTTGGAGCTTAGAGTTATAGAGTTGGGAATGTACCTTTGACGGCCTTGAATATTTTTGTATCAAGAAATGGTATGGACAGTGGACAGCTGTGCCAAGTTGTTGAACATTGAACAGAATCATTGCATCATCAAATCATATCATGTCGTCACATCTCACAACAAATAAGGCATGACTAAATATGTTCAACTATTACTATATAAATAAATGATTCATGCCCATCCATTGGGTCCGTTGACATTGCAGAACACAACCAACCACTGATTTTCTCCATGCCGGGCATGCTGCCAATGCCGGGGCCGATGCCATCCACCGTGGGGAGCAAGGGCAAGGGCAAGGGGTTCATGGAAGTGCAAGGCAGCCGCAGCGATCCAGTGGGTCCAGTGAAAGGGGACAAAGGCAAAGGATCGTTACCACGAGTCAACACATTCCACCGCGGAAAAGGCGGAAAAGGTCCAGGTGGTGTCCGCGGCAAAGGCAAAGGCAAAGGTGGCCATGGCAAAGGTCGTGGTCGTGGACGTGGACGCGGCGGTGGCGGTGGAGGAAGGGGAGTGCGCAAGTTTTGCAAGCGCACCGGCTCATGGATCTATGAGGATGAAATGAATCGGCTTAGCAATACCAACTACAAGGACCTCACAACCAGATGGGATAAGAATCGATGGTGGACTATTCGTATCTGGCCTGGGTATATCAATCTGTTTGTTATTTGACAGTCAGTAAGTTGTTAAATATGTTTTCCTTATCATACATTACAGAACTTGTCACGCACATGTATAGTATAATGACTGTGTGCTGTTTGGCTGTTTGGCTCGTATTTTGAACCTTAACCTTGAACTGACTACTGGTGGAATTATGAATAAGTATGAGGCTAGTTGATTGTTGTAAGCGTGGCATAAAAATAAAATAGATAAGCAATCCATGCAACTGAGATGCTCGTGAGCCTCGCTACGAAGATGGCGGTACTCCAGAAGCCACGACTACCGAAGAGGAGAATGATGATCACGTTGATCAGGCTGATCATCAGGCTGATCAGGGCGACGGCGAGGGCCAGGACGAGGAGAGTGAGCTTTGCACCATTCAATATGGATCTGAGCTTGAGCTTGAGGAATTGGAAGAATCTCAAGACAACACAGACCCAGATGAATACTACTGCGATATTTTTTTTAATAGAGGCAGTGGTAGGAGTAGTAGTCCACTCATTGTATGATTCATTCTGAGGAGAGAACCCACGCATGAACCAAATTTGTTTTGTCAACCTGTCGCCTGTCAACAACCAATCAATTTGGGGGATTGAGTTGAGAGGCGATGGAGTCCGTAGAATACTAGAGTACTAGATCACCAACTCTCTAAAAGAGATTGGAATGGAATTGGACTTTGACAATTTAAGTGTGGAAGATGCGGAAGCCCCGTTGATGTTTTGATTTTGGAATCGGTCGGTCGGAAAATAGACCTGACCTGCAGTGCAAATCCTGCACAACTGCACAGCACTTAGATCCGAGAAGAAAGGGAAATGACCATGACCACGACCATCTGTGTCTGTGATTGTGTCGTGTGTAGTGTACCGTCTACTGTGGACTGTGTACCGTATGTAGTGTGTGTGGGGAAGGATGGGGGAGGGGGAGGGAGCGAGCGAGCGAGCGAGGGAGGGGAGGGGAGGGAGGGATGGAGGAGGGCAGCAGTGCAGCAGGACCCAGCCTTTTGGTTCCCACGTCCCATTGTCAATGTCAGGTTGACTTGGCTATTTTCATTGGAGCAAGCAAGCACCAAGCACAAGGTCTAAGGTGTATCCGGGTAGCCGCGTAGCGGTAGGCAGCTAAATGAGTCAATGACTCTATGACTCTAGGTCAACTTTAATTTACTACTTTGGCATTCCTGATTCCTGTCTTACCTGTAGGGCCTGTAGGGTAGTGGCATCAAACTCATTGTATATATATATATATATTCAGGTTATCAGGTTGTCTACTCGATGCCACTGGAGTCATCAGTCATAGAATAGAATCTATCGTTTAATCTATGACTGACTCTATGACTTATTTGTGTTTGTGGTCATTCTTGGGTGATGTCATCATCAAAAAGTCGGTTTGTCGGTACGGAATGTATACAGAACCAATGATCGGTAGGCAAACAAATCTTTTCCGCACACATGACACACGCGCGCAGGACTTGGCAGGAGCTCTTTGACGGATCTTGGTTCAGGCGAGTGAAGGGCCAGGAAGAAGCTTCGTGGTGAGTGGATGATGGTGAGTACGGTGAGTGCTAGTTGGCACTGTTTTGTTGGCGGTTAAAGATTCAACACTGAGCAGAAGACATGTTCTCCAATCATTGCTGATAGTTTTTGCATATTTGTCATGTTTGTAGATTTGCTAAGTCTCGTCTAGATGATTCGATGATTTCTTGCTGGACTTGGACTTCTCCTCAACAAAACATTGACACTGAGCGGTAAGTTGGAAGTCTGTGTGCCTGTGTGCCTGTGTGCTGTGCGGCTGTGTGTAGAAGAGTGGGCCAGTTACCAACTTGCTGATTTGGTCTATGGTTAGACCACTACCAACAAATGAACAAT